GTCAAGCTGCTTTGCAAAGGGCATTTGCTGGCCTGTCCCAGTAGCCTCTGAGAGACAATGCTAGAAAGCCTGAACAACACAACAAAACCGCTCTTAGAAGACCACATGCCGTGGTTACTTTATGTCCTAAATGATGTTCCCTTTAACCTATAGATTGACTAGTTGGGCCATTTTTACAAAAGGCTGTGAAAATCACTGGATTATAAAATAATTGATGAAGTGTTTTCAGGTATTCATTCATGGGGGCAATTTATATTTATTGGGTATCCGCCATGTACAAGGAATTGTGAGGCATTGTCAGGAAGAGAAAAACAAACCAGACACCAGTTCTCTTCCCCAGGCACTTACAGGATTATTGGAGAACTAAAGCACGTAACATAAATAAATACAATGCAATAACACACGGCAGCCAGCAGTAAGTGCCGTGAAAGGGGTACCAGAAGCTCAGAGGAGAGAGATCCTGCTTTCCTATGAAGGATCCAGAAACGCTCCAAGGAGGAGGTGGCAAACCTTCCATGAAGTTGAGCCTTCAATGAGCCATGAAGGGCAGCAGCATCCAAATCATAACTATCAGAACTGCATTGATTTATTGAGTAGGTACTATGCGTTGGGTACCATGCTAAGCCCTTAATAAACATGAGTTTCATTTACTCCTCACAGCAATGCTTTGAGGTAGGTAATTCCCATTTTGCAGACCAAAAATAGGTGCAGAGAGGTGAAGAAAATTGCCCAAGATCATCCTTAGAATCCGTAAGTGGAAGAGCCAGGAATCACACTCTGATCTCTCTGATGGGAAGTCTCTCTGCCTTAGATTACCCAATTGGCCCTAACGCAGGGGCACTTTCCCAACCCAGGCTCTGTTTCAGGCTCCTCATCCTGTCTTCACTGCTCTCTCTCTCTCTTGCCCCCTTGTGCCAAGGATGACTCACTGTCCCCGATTTCCCAGTCCCTAGGGGCCTAGGCTCCAGATCTTCCTACAAGTAGCTGTGAGTCCTGATTGGATAATGAAGTCAACAAAATCCCAATTATTTGTTGGCCCTCTCAAATAGCCCAATGCCTCATTATAGTCAAAATGAGTAGGATTCCTGGGAACTACTCTTCAGAATTTCAGGCATCGTGGGAATGAGGGGGAGAAGTGGATGGCGATATTTTTAGTTAAGAGATCTATGGACACTTCTCAACCATGAAGTGATGTGAATGGTACTATGCACAGCAAGAACTGCGAGCCCCTCTCCTCACAACTCATCTAACTACAGGAACTCATTGAGGGCCTGAAAGTGCTGAGTGGGACAGGTTGATTTTTTAGTTACTCCTTTGAGGCTATCCTTTGGAGGTTACCAATACCTTCCTTCATATCAGTTTTACTCTTCTCTGAATTTCCACAGGCATAGTCTGAGCTGCTAGGGACACACCAATGAACACATCAAAGTCCCAGCCCTCTGAGCTAATTTCTAGGAGGAAGAAAGGCAATTGATAGATATATAATACAAGATCAGGTGGTGATGAAGATTGAGAAGAAAAATAAAGCAGAGAAAGGAGATAGAGTGTGAAGAGGACGGATCTCTTAGATAGAGGGACGGGAAAGGCCTCTCCGAGCAGGTGGTGGTTGAGCAGAGATGTGAATGAAGTGAGGAAGTCAGCCATGGGAGAAGAACCTTCCAGACAGAACAGCAAGCCCAAGTCCTCAAGGAGGGTGCCTGCTCCGCGCGTTTGAGGAGTAGGATGGAGACCACTGTAGGGCGATGTAGAGCTTTGGAGGATAGACGAATGAGCTCTGGCGGTTTTTTTCTCAGGACTCTCTGTATATGATGATGACCATATATCTCACATTTCCCAGAAGAATTCCAATTTTATGAATTCTCTTCTTTTTAAATGATTTGTTGAAGATGTAAGAAAATGTGATTTGATATGTATACTCTTGAAAGACTTTTCATAATCATTATGCATATGGACATCAGAAAGAATGTCCTTTGTCATCTGTCTCAGTTTGAGTTTCATAAAGCAAGTGTTTAAAGAACCACATGTTTGATCTTTAACCCAGGTTCCCTCCCTCCAGTTCTTCGTAATCCTCTGGGGTAAGAGCATTGAAGTCAATGGATTGTAATGAGAATAGATAGATATTCCAACTAGTCAGAAGAAAACCTACAAATTATTCGAATTTCTCAGATTTAGACAGATTCAATGTCAACCAAGAAGAAGAGAGCCTTAAGGGAGTGAAACATCGTCTTGGAGAAATTTCTACTGCATGTACCTTGGCAACAGCTCCATGGAAACAGACTGAAGCCTAATAAAGTCTATAGCAAATGCCCATATTTTCTCATGTTAACTCTTTAAACTCAAGGTGATTTCTAAACAGACAATCTGCAAGTCAGTCTTTTAACACTAGCCCAGTTGGCAACTTAGGGGCTTATCCATCATCAGTCCTTGTCTGTGAAAGACTCCATCATTCGTTAAGCAGATTGATAACACCCATAGAATTGTGAGTAATACCAAGAGACTGACCCTGGTTATTTAAAGATTAAACACAAACCACATATGGCTATGCAAGAGAGATCCCATTCACGCCCCTAGACTAATTACACCCACCCACATCACCAAATCACAGTTTCGCACAGGATGAAATAAAGAACAGGATGAGTTGTAAACCATGAAACAGTTTTTTTTTATATACAAATTCTGCAATTACAGTAAACCACAGTTGCAAATTTCTAGTCATTATGGCTGCCCTAGTTCTCTGTGGCTCACAGTCAGATAATTTCAGCGTCTTAGAGACCTTACCTTTGAATGTAAAATCACTTTGGAAACATTCATTAAGTGCCTATTGGTCACTAGGTAGTGCCAGGGAAATAAAGAAGAGGAAAGTGAGGAGATCTCTCTCTGCCTTTAAGGAGAGCCTCGAAGGAAAGATTTTGTAAACAGAATATTATAGAACTGTGACCAGGAGCTATGGGAGTACAAAGGAAAGAGCAATCACCTGCAGGCCATGGAGTCAATGAAAGCAACACACAGGAAGTACTGTTGGAGTTATCTTGACATTTCCTGGAGTTGTGACCCCAAACACTCTGCTATCTCCTCCCTCCATTGCCATATCTAGAAGCTCCTACTCAGGGCCAGCATTAGGCACAAATACCAAGTAGAGCAAGTCTTTTTTCATAACCTCATCTCCCTTCCCTCTCAAATCCTGTCCCTCAATGTTCAAGAGTGCTCAGTCAGGGTCCTGGCAGGAAGCAGCCTTCACTCCAGATGAGTCACATGAAGAGACCTTAGTGAAGGGCCTCCTTGCAGAGGTATGGGCAGGGTTAAGGGAACAAATGAGGGATGAGGAGGCACCAGAAGCTGGCAACTATGGGAAATTGTAACCACCCCTAGGGCTGCAGAGATAAGAGTAGCAAATTATGGAGGCCCAGTGGGAGCTAGAACCACGAAGAAGGGGCTATTCAGAGAAAACTATATTGCAGATGGACAAGCTAGCACCAGAGACATTAGAGAAAGAGAGGAAGGAGGAAGGAAATACCCTAACCTCCCTGCTGTCTGATCTCTCTCCTTTCAGCGTCTTCCATTAGGTGAACCCAAATGGAAATCAGCCTGCAAGAGAGACTAGGTGACACAGTCTGTAGCAGTCAGCCTCTCAGGGCACAAGATGGGACAGAGGAGGATGGAGTCTAAGGAGTCAAAAGGAGAATAACCAGCACAAAGTGACCTTCCCTACCCTTTATAGCTGACTAGTTTTACTCCAAATTCCACAGATGATCAAAGTGCCAAGTGTTCACATCCAGAGCCACTGTGAGATTGTGGAAAGCCTGGGACTCAGGCTGGATGACCTGTATCCACCTTGGACTCCGCTCCTTATGTGAGCTGAGTCAACCTCTCTAGGTCTAGCTTTCCTCATCTGGTTATGGGCATATTTTCTTAGTCTACCACAAGGGTTAGTGAGACCATCACATGAAAGATTGTGCTTAGAGGATACTGTGGTCATATTATCGGAGAGTTCTTTGAGGATCAATGCGGGTAACATATAAGCTTTTAACTTCTAGAAATATCACCCTTTACCTCCCTCCTCCCTTCTTCTTTCCATCATCTGTCTCCTTATCCCCCAATCTTTCCCATTTATGACTTGAATGGTAGGACTTTTCTGAATTAAATTTCTACAGAAGCAGGAACTATGTCTGTCTTGTTCACCGTCATATCCTCAAAAGTGCCTGGCACATAGTAGGTCATCAACCAACATTAGTGGAATTAATACATAGATGATTTGAAAGAGCTCCTTCCTGTCATGTTCATGAGTTACCACCTTTGGTGGTGGCCCAGACAACTGAGTTCTAGACACTATCTGCCCACCTGCCTGGGAGTGCAGGCCCCCAGCTGGGAGAGCAGTTGCTAGGGTAGAGAAGGCTGGCGCTTCTCCCATGGGCCTTCTCATGTATCTGGGGTAACAGAAGGTGCCTGCTTCCCCAGTGACATGGGGCCCCGAAACAATGACAAACTCTTCCCTCTACTCAGTTGACGTCTCTTACACCCAGTACACTAGTCTAGAACCATAGTTTTATCTTTCTGGGATCTTTTGTTACAAGTCGGGCTTGTGATGAGGAGGAAACATAAATAAACATGGACAATGATCTGCTCCACTCTGCAATGCCCCTGAAAACTCTGACTACATCCCCACGAGACTCACCAGGCTAGTAAAGAGGAGAAATGAAAGTAAAACAAGATATGAGCAGAAAAAAATAGGAGCAATGCTCAGAAGGAAAGTTAGGAAGTTACTAGGAGGGTCTTTCCAGAACTATTTCCACCCCCTCAGGTGGGTGACATCAAAATCCTACACACATAAACTGGGAACCTGTTCAGCTAGTTCTTCGCTCCTACAAGTCCTTGGCTTCATAAATACACTTTTCCACCCCTGGCTTCTTCCTCCTTTCAGCACAAATTTTGGGAAGACAAGCTGTTCCCCCTAGGCTGCCTCAGCTTTGGAGTTGAGAGCAAAGAGAACTTGGGTTACTCACGGGCATCGCTGAGCTTCCCCGTTAATACAATGATGAGAGGTACCAGGAGCACCATCTGCCCCGTGAAATCCTTCTCTTTCGGATTCTTTTAACCAAACTCTGACAGGTCCCGGCTGATCTTCCAAGAAGCTCTATACCGCGCACTCTTCCGTGATTTAGCAACTGAGCACACTCAGGGCCCTCTCCCTGTGAAAACAGGGGAAACGTTTAGTGTCATCAGTTGCCAGGCAGAATAGAGAGAGACCAAACAGTGACTTTTAACCCTTTATTGGTCTCAGACACTGCTTGTTCCTTTTGGTGCATCTGTCTTGATTGACCCTGTCCCCGACTTTTAAATATTTATAGAGTATAGCTATGTGCAAAGCACAGGGAACACAAAGACTAACAATAGCTGGTCCCTCAGGGGGCTGGAAAGAAAGAAGCCTTTGCTTCTTCTCTGGACCTTAGATTTTGCCCAGGGTCGATGAGGGAGATTCACATAAAGTTCCAAAGACTTGGAACTCCCTGGTCTGGCTTCCTACAACGCTATAGTTCAAATGTCTGCTACAGCGTGTATCACTTAGACTGTCCTGTCATTTTTTAGCTTAGGTCTATCTTCCCTGCTATTCTAGGACCCAGCACAATGAGCTCAAAAAATGCTTGTTGAATTTTTGGAGGTCAGGAAAAAAGCCTAAAAGAAGATTCTGAGGCCCTAGGATCAAGCTGTGACTACATTGTCATCAGACAAGCATGACGAGTTGGGAAACAGCAGCTTCAGCTTGCCCCGTGAGCTGGGGGCCAGGCCCAGACAAGAAAGAGGAGGGAGAGGTGGATGGGAGAGATGAGAGGAGGCAGGGCCACGAGGCAGCCTGGCTTGAGCTCAGGTTCAGGGATCTGGGTTTGCATCCCAGTAACTTGACCTTGGGTGGAATCCCAAATTGTGCTAAGGCTCAGTTTCTTCAACCTCCAAAGCAAATCCTGGCATCTATTTCCCAAGGGTGTTGAAGGATTAGATGAGGTTCTGTTTATTATGTACCCAGTAGGTAGTAGAAATATACATATTGGCTTCCTTCTGTGGCAGGCTGAAGAATGCCCCCTCACCCCAAAGATATCCACATCGTAATCTGCAGAATCTGTGAGTATGTTACCTTACATGCAAAAGAGATTTGGCAGATATGATTAAATTAATAATCTTGAGATGGGGAGATTATCCTAGATTATCTGGTGAGTCCAATGAAACCACAAAGGTCCTCATAAGAGAGAGGCAAAGGGTCAGAGTCAGAGAAGATGTGACAACGGAACTGAGGTTGAAGTGTCATTGCTGGAAAGGGGACATGAGCCGAGGAATGCAGACAGCCTCTAGATCTAGAAAGATAAGGAACAGATTTTCCCGTAGAGCCTCCAGGAGGAAGGCAATCCTGCCAACACTTTGATTTTAGCCCACGAGACCCACTTTCAGGCTTCTGACATCCAGAACTGTAAGAGAATAAAGTTGTATTGTTTTAGGCCACTAAGTTGGTGGCAAGTTGTTATAGCAACAATAGGAAACTATATGTCTTCCATTTCCCAAAAGAAGAAAAGAAGCCAAATATGGAAATTAACATTTGGTAACCTCTCAGCACCTCCTAGCAGCTTCGAGTCTTAGATCTTTGCATGTATTTCTTCTCCTTCCTCCTTCTCTCCTTTTTTCTTCCCTTTATTCTTCCTTGAACAAACATGGAGCACCATGTGCCCCTCCCAAGCCCCCATAGTCCCAGATGTCCCCTGCCAGCACTGGAGCTCTATGGCAGTGTATTTGCCCCTTTGAATTTCTGTCCCTATCTTCTTCCAAAAATGCATATTGTACCACGGTCTGCTGCATTTACATTAAAAAGTAGGTGTGGTGACCATGCCTTTGATTTTTAAGTCATTTTACTCTAATTGCAAATTAGCAAATACAATCCAGAAAACTTGAAAAACACACCAAAAATCAGAGTAATAAGGCAAAAATCACCCCTCAGAGTAAACCACCGTTAACGTTTTAGTACACGTCTTTTCAGTGCTTTTCTTATGACTATATATACTAGTACATAAACGCACTTTTTTGGATTTCATTTACCAAAAACAGGTTTCACATCCTAATACTATTTTGTAAATTATTTTTCACTTAGCAATTTCCCAATATTAACATGCATTTTTTATGGCATAACTTTAATACTCCTTAAATTTTTAAATAAATCGATTTGATAAGGATCGTGATCTTAAGGGACTGGTGGAGACTGCCCCACTAAGCTGGGACGCATCGGGGTGGGGAGTGTCTGCACATTCTCCTGGGGAGGAACAAGCTCTGCCTCTGAACACTTGTCTATCCTAGAATCTCAGGCTGCACTCTTCAGCGGCTTGTGTTTCTCTTGCTCACTACCAGTCTCTTTAACTATGTCTTTGGCTCTTTAATACCTGCTTTATGATATGTGGCTTAAAGCCCTTCTGAAGAATCTGATCCATTTGCAAACAGGATAAATCATCGTCAAAAACCAGAAGACAAATTATCAAGTTAGCAAGAGGGTCTTGTTCATTAAATAATGTTGTTTTCAATATAATGTATTTTATCACGTCCAATAAGTAGTTTCCTCTGGGCTGTTTTTAAAAATTCAATAGGGGTGTGTGTGTGTGTGTGTGTGTGTGTGTGTGTGTGTGAAGTCTGATCTGAGCCATTTTCTGTGCTTAGGTAAACCTCACTTGCCAGGTTTTGGGCAAGGCTAGCCCTGGTATAAATGGGCAGTAGAGAACTGTTGCAAAGAACATGGGTTTAGGAGTCAGATAAACTTGTTTTCAAATGGGGTTCTGCCACTTCCTACCTATGAGACCACGGGCAAATTCTTAATCTGTCTAAGCCTCAGATTTCTCTTGTAGAAAATCTGCCTTGAGAAGTTGTTGTGAGGACTCAATGAGATCAGCAGTGGTGGAACCAAGAGGTGACTTGCTGCATCTTGGGACTTTAGGACACGATTATCACACACACATAATCACCATCAGCCCTCCCGAACCAACCCAAATAAACCCGTAATTTAAGAAAAGACAGCGGGTCTACCACGTAACCTCAGTTCAAGCCTCCTAGACCTGCCAGCCAAACAAGTTACCTTCTAAAACCTGCCCCACATAGAAATTCTGGAGCCACTGCTGCAGATAATGCACGTATATCACTTAGCACAATGTCTGCTACACAGTAAGTAAATGGTAGCAATCGTTGTTACTATTATTGTTATTCGCTAGTTTACCAAGAGTCGTGGTTTTTCCTTCCCTGTGCACTGACAAACTCATAGAGGACGGGAAAGGCTGTACCTGTCCTGCTACAAAGGTTCAAATCCACTGTTTTGTCAAGAAGTTCACTGAATTCGAATAACGTATTTTAACTTTTGTGTGTGTGTGAGGAAGATTGACCCTGAGCTAACATCTGTTGCCAATCTTCCTCTTTTTGCTTGAGGAAGATTGTTGCTCAGCTAACATCTGTGCCAATCTTCCTCCACTTTGTGTGGGACCTCACCACAGCGTGGCTTAACAAGTGGTGCTAGGTCCACGCCCGGGATCCGAACCTGCAAACCTCGGGCCACTGAAGCGGAGAGGGCAAACTAAACCACTACACCACCAGGCTGGCTCCTATTTTAACTTTTTATACTCACCAATATCGATTCATTCAAACATTCTTAATTCGCCTTATTCTAAAAAGTATTTAAAACTGCTAACTTTCGATGCACTTTTTCATATGTCGTCACTTGGCTTTGTCACTTCTCTTTTTAAAAGTTTTCTTTTTACTTTTTATATTTCTGGTTATCCAAGTAAACATTTCATTGCAGAAAACTGCCAAACCTTAAATACATTTCCTTTTTTCTATGTATAAAAAATTTCTATGTATAAAACATTCCTATATATAAAAATGAACAGAGTTGAAATCATATCATTTATACAATTTTTTGTCTTGCTACTTTCAATATATGTCATTACATACTTTTAAACAACATTTCTAATGAGCATCCATCAAATGGATACTCTGTGAATTCTTAACCACTTCCTAGCGTTGGATATATAAGTCGACTGGAATTCCTTCTTGTTTATTTGAATCCAGTGTGTAGGTAAGGGTAGAGGTGTTGGTAACAACCAAGGAGAGGAAAGAAAACATAACCAATGTGTGGATATTTCCTGTGGTCGAGGCTGGGAAATGTGACGGCTATAGCCAGATCAATGGAAGCCCACATGAACGACTGTTTCCTGGAGTGTTCCAGAACATGTACATGCATGTTAGGGCGTTTAAAAGACTGGGATAACGATGAAGAGTATAAAACCTAACATCTATGTAACACTTTTCTCCCTTACTCTGTCTTGTTTCAAAAAGGATTTATGGTGAACTCAACAACAAAAAAACAAACAACCCAATTAAAAAATGGGCAAAGGACTTAAGTAGACATTTCTCCAAAAAAGAGATACAAATGGCCATATGAAGACACGAAAAGATGCTCAACATCGCTAATCCTTGGGGAAATGCAAGTCAAACCCACAATGAGATACCACTTTACACCTATTAGGATGCTTACTATAGAAAACACACACACACAGAAAATAACAAGTACTGGCAAAGATGTGGAAAAATTGAAACACTTGTCCACTGTTGGTGGGAATGTAAAATGGTGCAGCCAGTACACAAAACAGTCTGGTAGCTCTGCAAAAAACTAAAAGTAGAATTACCATATAATCTAGCAATTCCAATTCTGGATCTATACCCAAAAGAACTTAAAGCAGGGTCTTGAAGAGATATTTGTACATCCATGTTCATAGAAGGATTATTCACATTTGCCAAAAGGGGGAAGCAACCTAAGTGTCCATCAATGAGTGAATGGATAAACAAAATGTGGTATATACATAAATGGCATATTAGCCTTAAAAGGAAGGAAATTCTGACACATGCTACAGCTTGAATGAACCTTGAGAACATTATGCTAAGTGAAATGAGCCAGTTACAAAAAGACAAATACTATACGATTCCATTTATATGAAGTATCTACAGTAGTTAAATTCATAGAGACCAAGTAGAATGGTGGTTGCCAGGGGGTGGGAAGAGGGGAGAACAGGGAAGTGTTTACTGGGTACAGGATTTCAGTTTTGTGAATGAAAAGAGTTCTGGAGATTGGTTGAGCAACAATGTGAATGTACTTAACACTA